GTCGGACATTCCCAGACCTTTCGCCGGCACCATCAGTTAGTCTTGTCACTCTAGGCAACCAAGCTACAAATCGTCAAAGAGACAAGTGAAATCGATCCATTGACCAATTGTCCGAATGCATACTATGGACTCCGGACAGGGTGTGTTCCTCTAGATCTTCCTGCCAATATGACCTCTTGCCCTGACTGTGAGATTCCTCATTCTAGAGTCATATTCGGTTTTTCCGAGTGGTTGGAGTTTGCGCTGTCTATAGATCCCATATTTATTCAACTTTTTCTAGTATCCTTCTTCGATTAGGTGCGAGATCCTTTCCGACATTTTGTCTGTAATCTTCTTTAGTTTCAGGAAATCCTCTTGATTAAGTATGCCTGAGTATCTACTTAATATCTAAAAGAGTAGGCAATTTTCTCCTCTCCCTATCACGTTTCTCTCGCAATATTTGCAGAGGAGCTTGATATAATGTATCATTGACCTTGTCGTCATGATATTTTCTCATCAAAATGGCAAAGACTAGGAGGGATACCGCTACGTTTACAACAGTTTATAGTTTACCATAGTACTGCTTTAATTGTCACCGTTGTGAATGGTTTTCTCCTCTCATTGCCGTCGCCAACACTCTTGCTATTCTCTTGTTGATAGCCATTCTCCCACTCTTGGTACACTCCATTTTTAATGCTTTCTTACTACCTCTAGTCTTCTCATAAGCCCCTGAGTTGAACTCTTCTCTAGTTTGTATACTTGTTAAAATGTGCAATAAAAATAAACTCCATCCAGAGTGTTTATTCGGGACATTTTGCTTAACTCTAAAATGAATGCTGCTCCTTGTGCTAAATTTTCTTTTCTCCTTCTGTCCTCTATTAAGACACTACACGAAATCTCGAGAGTGATGTGACTAACGATGTCGGAGGCTGGTTATGCCGTGTTCTGGTTGCCCTGTTGCAGGGCAATCGCCGTGAACCAGATCACTCGGCCATGCTTGCTGCGCAAACCAAGGGAATCGACGCTGTTGCCAGTCGAAATACGTGTTCTGCGCACGCAGAGTCCTTGTACGACGCCGGAGAGGGGTGAGAAATTCTAAAATGTCGTCCAATTTTGCCTTTTCAACCCGCCAGTTTCATATAACCGTCTACAGATGCATACAGGCTATGAACGGCTTCACGAGGTGACCTGGCGGTTGTGCTCTTAGCCTATACTCTCTCCTCAATGCGGTTATATTCATTCGAGAGACCTCCTCTGTTTTGAGCTCTTTTCGTCTTTGATCACCACCTCAAGTGAAATGGGAAGTACTATCCAAGTTAGTAGGACTGGTTGAATAAGATGGGAG